ATAATTATTACATTTTTAATATACAGGGTGCATTATTAATTCACCCTCCTTTGGAGAATAAATTGACAAAATCAAAATAAGTCGCAATAAAAAATAACAGAATTACGTTTGAGCCTTCTTTAAAGAGTTATAATCAAATCGAAAAATTTATATATACAATAAAAAATACACATACAATAAAAAAATTAAAAAAAATTTTTTACAAAAAGAAATCAATGCCATCAATCTGTAAAAAAAATTTTTACAATTTTTTTACAAAAATGTTACTTAAATTTTATAAATATAATCATTTTTTATACAATTGATTCCTTATAATATTTTGCATAACAAGTTATAAGGATAAAATGGTTCAAAAAAAGAAAACATTAAAAAAAATGTTTTAGACAAAAGTTGTTCCAATTAATTGGTAGATGATAAAAAATGGGATTTCCGTTTAAGATTTTAAAGTGACCTAGAGACTTTCTTCATAACTGCTGTCAGGTCAAATATATGTATAACTATTTCATGTATTTGTTAAAGCCTTACAACTTTTGTTTAAAACATGTTTATCTATCGCGCTCAGTTTTCAAAATATTCAGCATGTATGGATGGTCTCAGACACCCTGTATATAATATATTCACATATCCATGCTACTGAAAAAAATCTACAAAAGATTATCTCGGTGATATTCCCATATTATCATGTTCACTGAATATCATATAATATCTATGTCCACTTCTTTACTAAGGATATCCACATAATATTCAAATATTTATATCCACCGAAAATCTATTAAGAATATCCAATGAATGTCCACATGTTCATATCCAGTGAAAATCTATCAAGGATATCCATATCCATTATTGGATATCCATATCCATTGTACATCCATGTCTATCAAAGAGCTATAAAAATCCATGATAACTCTTTTAATCTAATGAATATCCACATATTATCACATATATCTATGTTTATTAGCCCAGATAGACGTATATCAGCAGATTGTCTGCATAACATTTTAAAATTGAAAATGCTTGCATAAACATTAACAGATGCATCCTCATATGACATGAGTATTATCAGCAAGTGAAAGGATCTTCTAATGCTGTGAAAGTTGCGAAAATATGCTGCTTATTTTGTCAGAAATATAATAATTACAGTTATGCATTTATAGTATAGTAAAACATATTGCTATTTTATAAATATACAAAATATATGTTAACAATATGACATATATAATGCACAATTAAAATTATTAAAATAATTCGTAATTTATATTGTTCTAATTGCATTATAAAGTATACATGAAATGTTTGCATACTATGTTCAGCATACCTGTTTATCTGGGAGAGGAGTGAGCTACTGCAAGGCACACCAGCTAATCTTATCCTAGAAGAAGTCATATATGTATAATTGTTAGTTGCAAATTACATACTTTATCTATAAAGAATTATGTATTTTTTTACACTAACTGATTCCTCTATAAGGTAAGACCAAAAAATGAATATTTTATAAGATATATCCCAGCAAACACCGATATATAATTGTTACATTGCTATAATAAAACGGAATATAATAGGTAATATAACGTGTACGTTACATGTAACATCCATGTTAGTTGTAATTTCCCACTCATAGATGTAACATTTTAATATAACATATATTACATTGTAGTTATATTGTAATTATATACCAAATAGCACATTGATGTATTGATAAGTCAGTGCTATATTGGGATATAATGACAATATAACTACAATGTAATATATGTAATATTAAAAATGTTACATCTATGAGTGGGAAATTACAACTAACATATACGTTACATGTAACATGCTTAAGTATATAACATTTATATATTGTGTTTGCTGGGATATATATAGTTTATACGAAATTATGTTAATTCGTAAACTATTCACTCTTTGGCTATCTTACCTTTATAACTTTTTATAGTAAATGTTGCAAGGAATCGATTTATATAAAAAAATCAAGTTCTATTTAAAAAAACAAATGACTATTAAATCTTGAAAATGCTTTCTAGATTAAACTCAGCAAACACCGATATATAACTGTTACATTGCTATCATAAAATGGAATGTAACAGGTAATATAACGTGTGTGTTACACGTAACATCCATGTTAGTTGTAATTTCCCACTCATAGATGTAACATTTTTAATATAACCCAGATAGCCACAGTAATTATTATGACATCATTTTGATGTCAAAACGCATCATTTTGACATCAAAATGATGTCATAATAATTACTGTGGCTATCTGGGTTATATTAAAATGTTACATCTATGAGTGGGAAATTACAACTAACATGGATGTTACGTGTGTAACACACACGTTATATTACCTGTTACATTCCATTTTATGATAGCAATGTAACAGTATATCCCAGCAAACACATATTATAACAGTGTATAACAGTGTGAGGAGTCAAAAATAACAGCATTCACTATTATTTTTATTATATTTATAATTTATATATTATTTTATTAATTGTTATTTTTTATTATTTTATTATTGCTATATAACATACTAGCAAACGCATATATTATAACAGTTATATAACATTGAAACAAAAAATTAATATAACAGCTGTTATATATTTATTACATAAATTATATATCATCTGTTTGCCGTTGCTATATAATATATTAGTAAATACCTATTATAACAGTTATATAACATTAGAATAAAAAATTAAGATAACAGCTGTTACATAATATTTATTATATAAAATATATAACTCGTTTACTGTGTTGTTATATAATGTGTACGAAGAATAGTTATATGTTTCTTCATTTGCGTGTTTTGTGCAATGCTGCTAAATTTCGCGGTTTTTGTATACACACGGTCTTTTCCCGCGTGCTAAATGCATAATGTGGTGACAATGAAAAACCAATATTAAAGTAGCGCTGGTGTCGCAGTAATACGTGATCGCCTCTCTAATAAAATATGATTTATGGTTGAATTATTGTTGGCGGGAAAGCCGGCAAAAAATATTGTGCTGTGCCTTCGTGTTGCAAAAGATTCACTTTCTTTACATAAACCAAAGACTGTAAGTATATTTAAAGTACTTATTATAAGACTGTTATATATTTTATATAACTGCGATGTTCGTCATTCCTCTAATATGCTTTTTCTTACAGAGATTAAAACTCTCTCCATTGAAAGATTTGATCGCCACATCTCGAGAGACCCTGAGCTATTGCTATTTGATCGTAATTCGTTTATCGTAAGTACACAATTATTGTGGATGAGCTGTGGAATGCTGGATTTATATATTGAAGAAGCCGGAAAGTGTAAATATTATTAAACAACACAATTATTAATATTGCAAAATTTTTTAGGTTATATAGCGATATAGCCATAAAAAATATTGTAATCTGTACGCTATATATATATATATATATATATATATATATATATATATATATTTATATGTTTATTTCATAATTATTATTTGCATATTATGTTCTTTATTAATATTATATATACTTAATAGATTCAATCAGTAAATAATATTTTATTCATCATTAGACATTTGTGAAGTGTCATCGAAGCATCAATTTTTATGGTTTTCATATATTTTATCATATATTTTACAATAAGTCATTGTCAATAAGTGTATTAATTTTTTAAAACTGCTCTTTAAGATATTTTGCATATACAGTTTATATATATATCGCATATTTTATTTAATTTTTAATATGCTTATTGCCATATTATCTATTCGCATTTTGTTTCAGATTAATTTGATTATTTGTATGTAAAGTTTACTTGTATTTTATTAATATTTGCATATGATTTTGTATCTTATATAGTTAACTAAGATTTATTAATATTCAAATATTTTATTATTTTTTTCTAACTACTATAACTTAATTTTATAAATTTGTTCTAATTTAAATAATCGATCAAAATTATCAACATGCCAAAAACATATCACCATTTATCAAAAAGACGTAAAAATCAATTGATTTCATGTCATATGTCACAATTACATAAAATTACAACTACAACATCAAATGTTTCCAAAAAACATTTTAAAATTAATTCTGCTAATATAGAAATGGCCTGTAATTCTAACTCAGAGAATACATTTTCAAATGAAACTAATACTCTTCTCAGTGATAACATTTTTGATGCATCCAATAATATCCTTAATCCATCAATGAATAATAGTTTTTCAGCATCTAATAGTTTTGACATTCCTATTGCATCAGATCAAGATAGTTCTTCATTGTCTAATTTTTCTTCCAAATCAATTGATTTTAATAATGAAATCTCGGTACAAAATGTACAAAACTTAAGTTTACAAGAAGATTTGCAAATCTTAGTTTCAAAGCATTGTATTCCTCAAGGTACTGTAGATAAACTTCTTTTTATTTTGCGGAAACATGGTCATAATGATTTACCTGAAACGTGTAGAACTTTAATGAAAACACCACGTAATACTTTTCAAAATATATCTGCTGTTAGTGGTGGAAGATACATTCATTTTGGATTAGCTTCGGGAATAAAATACTCTATATCAAAATATTGTAAAATTATGCCTCGTGAAATAAAAATAAATATTAATATCGATGGTCTACCTTTAAGTAAAAGTTCAAGTAGCCAGTTTTGGCCTATTCTCGCATCAATTGAAATTAAAGATCTTTATACCGAGCCTTTTGCAGTTGGGGTATTTCACGGAATGTCCAAACCGAATAATGTAAATGATTTTCTTCATCCTTTTGTTAATGAAGCACAAATTGTTTTTCGAGATGGTATATTATTAGATAATAATTTCTATTGTAAAATCATATTGAATGCAATTTTATGCGATGCTCCTGCAAAATCATTAATCACATGTACCAAAGGTCACACAGGTTATTTTTCATGTTCAAAATGTTTTCAAGAAGGTGATTTTGTATGTAATCGAGTTGTCTTTCCGGAAATTAATTGCACACTAAGAACAAATGAATCATTTCGTACTCGTAGTCAAGAGGAGCATCATATAGGTGATTCAATTTTAGAAAATCTCCCTATAGATATGATTTCACAAATTCCTTTAGATTACATGCACCTTGTTTGTTTAGGATCGAGGCGTTTATTACAATTTTATGTCAGGGGTAAGAAAGGTGTAAGATTATCCAAAGTTGCAATTGATTCTATTAATAAACATCTACTTGACACAAGAAAATTTATAACTAAAGAATTTGCGAGAATGCCAAAAAGTTTAATATGTATTGATAGTTGGAAAGCTACGGAAGTTCGCCTTTTTTTACTTTATTTGGGTTTAGTTTTGTTAAAGCCATTTTTGTCTAAAGACTATTATAATCATTTTTTATCACTAAGTATAGCTATTCGTATATTTGCAGATCCAAAAAAATGTTTAGTTCTTAACGATTTCGCACATTCCTTGATAACCTGGTTTATTTCAAACTATAGAAATGCTTTTGGACTGGAATATCTTTCACATAATATTCATAATTTAGAACATCTTGCAAATGATGTCAAAACTTTGGGATGTTTAGATGCTTTTAGTTGTTTTAAATTTGAGAATCACATGCAAAAAATTAAAAAGCGAATAAAAAATTGTGGCAAACCATTAGAGGAATATTCTAATCGAATTTTCGAATTAAATCAACTTCCAGTAGAAAAATCATATTTAAAGTCATATCCTATTATTCATTTTAAAAAGACAATTCAAAACACTAATGATATATCTCATTTAGAGTTCAATGGCTTCAATATTTTTACAAAAGAAAATGAAAACTGTTGTTTGTTGAACGATAATTCTTTGGCATTTATTTTAGAAGTAATTTTAGATAGTAATGATGTTCCATACATAAATGTAAAGCGAATTTTATATACCGAACCATTTTTTAACACTCCATGTGATTCTAAAGAACTACTGGGTATACAAACTTTTTTGGAAACAAGTCCTTTTAACATAGAAAAATTGCCGGCAACAAACATAAAAACAAAATGTTTGAAATTAAAACATCTTGAGTTGCAAAACACATTTGTTATAATTCCACTTTTGCATGCATGTACCTAATTATTCTTATTTTGATTTTTTCTTTTAAAGAATTATTCTCATCTTGCAGTAATTTTATGTTCTTTTTAACAGCTTTATCATTACCAAGATTAAATACTTTAGTGTTTTTTTTTAAAGAATGATGAGATAATACTGCAGGTTTTTTATGACTATTTTGATTTTCATATATTGCTATGTATGGTTGGTTTTAGCTTTAAGTTGTTTAAAATATTAAATAAATACTTTGATATTACCTATAATTAAGATTATTTTGTACCACGCCTTTTTTCACGGACAATACTTTCGTTTTATAACAAACTTTATATTCTACAAAGAATAATAGCTATGTACATATATACATACACACATATATTAGTATAGAATCTATAGTGTCAAACTCACACACATCCTCGATACCCATCGTTCTACCTGAACATTACGGGTGGTGTGCGAATTATAAGACACTCTGTATTCTGCATATATATTTTTTCAGAGAAAATGTCC